ATCTATAAATTTCATTTCCCCTTGCCTCCATTGTCACAGCATTCACACTCACTTGTTTTGGTCCATTCCAAGAAAGTCCTCAGTGCCTTTACCTTCTTTTTTTACATTCCTGTCCCTGTACCCTACCTTAGTATCGGCAATAGAAATCCTAACATATATATAACTGAACATAGTGACTAAGACTGAATTTTTGAATAAAACTGTCTAGTTTCAATCCTAGTTCCACTACTTAACTAGTTTTATCAAGTTATTTCGATGTTCTGTGCCTGTTCCGTGTGTAAAATGAGGAGATCATCTAGCTACATTATGCTGTTGTAAGGAGTACATGCAAATTACTTGGCACATTCCTAGCATGTATAAAACACACTGCTAGCCATTGTTACCATTCTTCTCATTATCGTTATTATCACTATTACTACCACCACCCCCATCACTACCGGTATTACGTTCCACGTCTTTAACATACATACATTAACTGATTGCCTACTATGTCATCACTATTCGAGATAAATGATTAACATGGCTTTCTTTCCCAGGGGATATTTGTGTCTTGTTAAAAGAGTATCTGAACCCAAATAATCTGGAAAATTATTTTAAACAACAAGTCTTCCAAATCTTTTCCCCTGGACCATAGTCCACTTCATTTTAAGCAGTGACTCTTCCCCTTGTGACACCACACATATCAGAACAGAAATGAGCAACTGGTAACTCCACTTCCAAATGATGGCTAATGCCCTCTATGAACAGACCTTTTATTTACCATACATCCACCAACAGTATCAATTTGAAATTCATTCCAAATTCTCTACACATATCCCATGTTATCCCAAACTGCCCCCACGCTAAAGCAAAACACAGAGCTCAAACTGATAAAGTACTATCTTTTGGAATATAAATGTTTTTAGTCATTCATTCATTCATGTTTTGTATTCACATGTACAACATAGGTAATGAGCACTTCACTCCATTTGTTAAACAAGTTAATGGAAATACAAAGCAAATATAACTGTAATGGATACCACATATGGAGCCCTGACTGAGTACCAAGCACTGCGTTCATCCTCACTACAACCCTATACAGGGGGTAAGTCTTGTTATTATCCCCGTTTTACAAATGAAAAAACTGAGGATAAACAAGATTAAGGTGCTACCATATCAGAGCTTTAGTGCATTAGAGAAAGACAAACATAAATACATAAATGCAATTTAGAATGAGAGGAACTATATTATAAATTTATAGAAAGTACAAAGAAGCACAGAGAAGAGGAGAAAGGGCTGCTTTTAAAAGAATAAAATGAGGATATCACCTACCCACATTATGTTGTTGTAGTACTTGGCCATTTAAGGGGAGAGAAGGGCATTTCTAGTCACCAGCAACTGCATATGCATAAAAGAATAAAGTGAACAATCACATGTTCAATTTGAAAAAAGGATACAAGGCTGGAGAGGTGAGTGGAGGCCAAATCATAAAGGGCCTTGTATACAGGGTCCAGACTTTAATTGTCTCAACAGGGAAGCAACCTGTTCACATATTTGCATTATGTTTCTATAAATTTCCCAACAAGTTGGGAGATGCAAGGAGAGAAAAGGAAAAGAGAGATGGTGAGACCAAAGGCCACTTGCCTTCTCTTTACCAGGAAGAAATTAGATGGTGGGAGGGAAGGGCGGGCGGCTAAATAGTTGAGGACACTCAAAATGGGGGCAGTACTGAGGTAAAAGAGACTGAAGAGGAGGAAGGACCAAGGATGATACTCAGAATTTTAGGCTGAGTAACTGGGTAAACAGTGGTGCTCCAAACCAAAAATGAGGCTATAATCACAGGAAGAATAGTTCCAGTGGGAAAGACAAGGAGTTCAGCCAAGGACACACTGAATTTGAGGTACCTGGGGTGTGTCTAAGCAGGAGCCTGACACCCAAGGAAGAGATTCTTTGCTGGATGCAGGGATCTAGGCGTCATCAACCTACATGATGAGAAAGGTTATGGGCCTTACTAAGAAGCAGGTAGAAGGACGATAGGAGCAGGAAGCTAATACAAAGACTCACAACCAACAGATCTGAACATATGTTTCACCTTTGCCACTTACTAGTTTAACAACCTTGGGCACGGTACTCCAACTCTCTCTGCTGACATTTTGGTTTCCTCACTTGTAAAATCACAGGAGAGTTAAGATGGTTTTTCCTGATCCTGATAAGAATTAAGTTTGTTCCCTTCCATCTCCCCCTCCCCTCCCCCACTTTCCCCATTACAAATGGAACAGAGGAAAAAAGAAGTCTTAAATGAGGGGCTTTTAAGGCTGTCTACCCCACACGCCTCTATCACACTACGTAGGGTAAGCCCCCACTCCCACCTGTCACCCATTATAAGTGGAACACAATAGGGACTTACTCTGAATTGCCAATCATTTACACTTAAGGCCAGCCCATCGAAGCTTGGAATCCAGACAGCTGCCCCCCATGATTAAGCAGAGTTCACTATGCATTAATTCCTTCCCTCAACGGACACTGATCAAGAACCCACCTTGAGCCAGAACACAAATCTGAAGAACTGGGAATGTAAAACAAAGTTATCTACCCTGAAGGAGTTCAGAATAAGAGAGAGACCAGAGTCAAGCCAACTGGTCAAGAAGTTGTGTAAGTGCCCGAATTGTTGGGCGACAGAGGAGATGGGAATAAACATACTTATATATTGATTACAATATACAATGTATTAATTGGTTGACTTCTGAGGACAAACAACCTCCGCTCCCAGACGTAATGCTGCAGCTCAATTCTGCATATATTGCTTTCTTTCAGGGATGGGCAAATTTCCTTCAGGTCTACGTTTTTCTGCTTGAAAGTTCAAGGGGGAAAGTCTCACTTCTCAGTCAGATTTTCCTCTTACAGCAACCACTGGGTTTTCTCCTCCTTTCACAGCCCACAGTAATTACATAAATGCAATTACTGCCTCCACATTTCATTTTTCACACTCAAAACTGCCAATGCCTTTGGTATTAAGGCTAAATAACAAGCGTGGCATATAGACTCGAGCCACCTGACTTTCTACTCGCCTGCCTAGCCTTAGTCTCCCTGCCCTGCTTCTCACTCTGAATTTCAGCCTCCAAGAATTCGAGCAGGTCCTCAAAGCCCGCAGAGGCTGGTTTCCTTTTTCTAGCCTTGTAGCTGCTATTCCTCTGCCTAAAGCATTCTCTCCCTTCTAGCCTGTCTAGTCCGACTCGTCCTCTGGAACTCAACCTAGAAATTGAGACGTTCCTTTTCCGGAACGCCTCTCCTTGTCCCTTCAAATCTGGGTTGCTACCTGTCCCACAAGCTGGTTACTGGATAATTCAGTTTGGTTTCCTTATTAGATACAAGCTCCAGCAGAGTACGGGCTGTGTCTCACTCACTGTTTTAGCTTATCCCATTTGGGCACTCAGCACAAGGCCCACTTAAGTGAAAAGCTGGCCGAACAAACGAACGAGGCTCTTTCCAGATCCCTTACAGCCAGGTTACTTCTCAGGCCCAAGGTTTCAATGTATATGTCACCTCCTGAGAGAAAGGCCACCTTGGACCACCCTACCGAAAGTAAGTTGCCCAGTTATTGGGAGTACTTACCAATTTGTTTTGTGCAGCCCTCCAGGGGGCAGGGTGTGCTTCTCTACGTCCCCATGTCCCCAGCCTATCCCCGGCACCTAGCACTGTGCCTGGTGCACGGGCAGCATTCCGGCGTGCGTGGTGTACGAATGAATGAAATGAGATGCTGCACACCACCGGCTCCACGTTGCAAGTTTTTCAAATACTACGGTGGGGACTCCGCTCCCCAGCCCAGAGTCAGCGGGTCTTGGGCCGCGCCGGGGAGCTGACGGGCCACCCCCACCCAGGTGCGAGCAAAGCCGAGGAGTCATCTCGCAAAGCCCCTCGAGGGGCAGCTTCAAGCGGGGGCGTGGAGGTGGCGCCCAAAGCGTCGGCCTTCTCAGCTCTCCAGGGGCAGCAGGGGGCCGTGCACCCGACTTGACGCCCCCTTCCCCGTCCCAGCCCTGGGCAGTCCGGGCGAGCCCAGCCAGCGCGTCTCGATCAGACCGGGCCAGACCTGCACGCCGGGGCGTCCCGGGGCCCCGCCTGCCACGCCGCCCGCGCTCTCCTCACCTGCGGGCCCAGCTCGGCTGGAAGCTTCTGCAGCTGCCACAAGGGCGTCCCCTCTTCCGGCTCCATCCCAGTACCAAGTAGGAACCTAGGTCACATGACAAGGCCCGGTCGCGCCTCACGAGCTACGGCTCAGCCACGTGACTCTCTCGGGTGGGCGGGGGCCGAGCGTGGAGACGCAGGGGCTCTCGTGCGCGTGCGCAGAGACACAGCCGGCGCTTTCCCTGTAACTAAGGAGAATCCCTTTTCCTCCTGGAGTAAGTTTGCTAAACACACTTATTATATTGAAAGCAAATTTGCAAATCTCGCAAGCACGTTGCAACTTTGTTCAGAGTTCTGTCGAACTTTCTCTGCACTCCTTAGAAAGCCGTCTAATAAGAGTAACCCTGTTTTGAGCTCAGGGCCATTGTCCCGGAGGCTTGGCATGTGTCTCTTTTTAATATTCTAATTGGAAGGTTAAGTGAGGGTTTACCTGTGTGCAAGATACTTTATATAGATTATCGGGTACTATTTTCATCCCCATTTCCAAATAACAAATAAGATCAGTCACTAGGATAGTCAGATTTAGCAAATAAAAATAGAGTGCCTGGTTAAATCTGAAATTTCAGATAAGCAATGAACAATGTGTTCTTATAAGTCTGCTCTAAATATTGCATGGGGCGTACTTATACCAAAAAATTATGCCCTGTTTATCTGTAAGCCAAAGTCAACTGGGCATTCTGTGTTTTACAGCAACCGTAAAAGTCACAAGAGCTAGGAGGCACAGCCTAAAGTTAAGCAAAGTCAGACCCTACAGCCACACGGTTAACGTCGAACTAACCAAAAAACATTTTCTGTGATTTCTCTCACTATAGCTGTTACTTTAATCAGATGCTGGAGAATTTCGAGGGATAAGACAGTTCCTGGTAACTAGAAGTACACAGTAAGTGGGAGACAGAAACAGAAATGACAGTCTAATATAAATTTAATAATAAAAGTAGTGAAAAGTGATGAAGCATACCACAGAGGAGAAAGTATTTTATTCTGTGGGCTATGCAAAGAAAAACTACATATTAGTGACACCCTTCAATGTTTAGCTGGGATGCCCTTTCTCTACTCTGTGCCCCATCTCTTGGAGGTGAAAGCAATTTCCTCCTCCTCTAAATTTTCATGACTCTCCCTCACTTAAAATATTTAGCGCTTTCCAGTTCTTAATATACATAGTTATGTACAACAATCATTGCCCCAACTGAAACATAATTATCTTAAGACACTTCGACTTTGTGCAGAAGAGCCCCTCAACTAATAGTTAATGAACAAGGAGTCTGGAAATCTCCTACCTAATCTGTGCGTGTTTCGTAAGTCTACTGAGGGTACAGACTGTTTTCTAAGAAAGGGCTAGATTTTGTATATGGTAAAACTTGGGGTAAAAATATTTATTAAGCATCTACTATATGCCAGTTTCTATATTTTATCTTATTAATCTTCCCTATAACATTGTGTTGTGGGAGTTACCCCAGCTTTCCAAGGTGAGGAAAAACAAATTTGGTGAAGTATCAACTTTGTCCAAGGTCATGCAGGTGTTAGTTGCAAAGTCACTGGGCTGTCTGTGTGTTTCACTGGCCCTAAAGAGTAAAGAAAGGCATTCTGAGGTGATATGACTTCCCAAGGCCATATAACAGATTAATAAATAAGGGAAAGAGGCACAGAGAACAGGGCCCAAAATTCAGTCAGAGTACTTAATATTTGCCTTTTGATAAGAGGATGTTCTTATATGTATAATTCAGGAGGTTTTCAAAACATTTTTGTTTCTTACAGTCCCAATTTTACTAACTGTGCTCTAGTTCTAAATTTACAAATCTTACTTGTAGTGATAGTTAGACACATGGGACTCTGGAGTTAAACTTCTTAAATTTAAACCCCAATTCGGCAAATTACAGTCTGTGGAATATTAGGCAAGTAGCGTTCACTTACCTTGTTTATGGTTCTTCGTCTGTAATTGGTTATGTTAGCACAGAACTTATAGGGTCATACGTTCATATATGTAAAGTTCTTGAAATGAGGTCTAGCCTGGAACATAAAAAACATTATTAGATTCCCTTATAAGTGGCCTTCTTTTCTCCCCTGTTATCTAGCCAAAGTTTAGTGGGTTCCAGAAAGCAGGGTGTATCTCCCTCTTCTTTACCCTCCTAGATATAGTGTTGGAGAGTCTCTGCCTTGGGAATATGATCTGCATCTAAAACCCACCTAGGCTGTTATATAGTGCAGTATAGGCAGTGCAGGTCAGTGGTCACAGCTCGGACACATATAAAAAATAGATCTAAAGATCTCAGATAAACCTCACTGGGTGTGCTTACTGTCCTGAAATTGGAATTCAAGCTGTTTATCGAAGAGTTAATTTGTTGCTCGAGGTTATTTGTAATTGGGATCTTTTCATTTTGAAGTGGAAGGAGCAAGAAAGAATTTTGTGCACCATGCCCTGGGATGTTTATTCATTCACTCACTCTTTTTTTTTTTTTTTAATTTTTTTTCAACTTTTTTTTTTATTTATTTTTGGGACAGAGAGAGACAGAGCATGAATGGGCGAGGGGCAGAGAGAGAGGGAGACACAGAATCGGAAACAGGCTCCAGGCTCTGAGCCATCAGCCCAGAGCCCGACGCGGGGCTCGAACTCACAGACCGCGAGATCGTGACCTGGCTGAAGTCGGACGCTTAACCGACTGCGCCACCCAGGCGCCCCTAGTCTGCGTTTTTAAATGGTTATACTCTGGAAAGCATTTAGACTTTGGAAAACCAGCTCTCGGGTGCAAGAGTGAAAGCAGGAGAATCAGTTTGGAGGATATTCCTTTTTTTTTTTTTTTTTTTGATGTTTATTTATGTACTTTGAGACAGAGCATGAGATGGGTAGAGGGGCAGAGAGAGGGAATCCCACACCATCAGCACAGAGCCTAATGTGGGGCTCTATCCCATGAACAAACAGTGAGATCATGAATGACCTGAGCCAAAATCAAGAGTCAGACACTCAACCAACTGAGCCACCTGGGTGCCTCCAGACTAATCCTAACTAATGTAGGCATTTAAGTTGATATGACCTAATTTGCACGCATAGACTATAGAAATCTAGGGGCTTCGATGATGAGTGGTGGGAACTACATACAAATGGAAAGACTCAAAAGATATTTTGGGTAATGCATAGAATTGTTGAATCCTTGTATTGTACACCTCAGACTAATATAACTGAATGTTAATTACACTTCACTAAAACAAGAAAAAAAAGAAACATATTTAAAATCTCAAAAAAAAGATATTTTTGGAACTAAGATCTATGGAATTTATGGTGGGCTGCATGCTTTGGAAAGAGAAAGAGGATGTAGAAGTAAAATGCAAACTATATGACAGGGTAAAGCATCTGTCCTCTCAGCCAGCTGGAGGCTGGGGGCTCTGACCAAGAGATAGAGTCATAAGCTAGAGCTACTGTGTTAGTGAAACTTTTTGAGGAACGGTGTGGAACAGTGGCTCTAGAGTCAGAGTCCATTTATATCCCTGTCACTTAACAGCTGCATGACTTTGTGTAAAGTGCTTAAATTCTCTGTACCTCAGTTTCCTTGACTGAAGATAGGAATAAAACTACTACCCACATAATAAAGTGTCTGTGAATTTAACATGAAATAATGCAGGGGTGCCTGGGTGGCTCAGTCGCTTAAGCGTCCGACTTCGGCTCAGGCCCCGATCTCGCGGTCCGTGAATTCGAGCCCCGCGTCGCTTCTGTGCTGACAGCTCAGAGCCTGGAGCCTGCTTCAGATTCTGTGTCTCCATCTCTCTGCCCCTCCCCTGCTTGCACTCTGTCTCTTCTCTCCCCCCGCCTTTCAAAAATAAATACACGTTAAAAAAATTTTTAATAAAATAATGCATACAATGTGTTTAGCATAGCATGTAGAATGTAGTTCGCCCATAGTAAAGATTACCTATTATCTTTTGCCAATACTAGTGTTACTTGGAGCGCAAGTAGTATGCAGTCCTGGGAACAAAGTGAGATACATTCACACATGTACACACATGCCCTGTGCTAATGGGTCTGGTGAGGGGCCCAGATAAGGAAAGTTCCAGAGAAAACTGGAGTTGATTCATCCTGTGAATTCCCATAAGTAACTGACTCTGGCAAGGGTGGACATAGATTGTGCCGATCATTCAGACACAAGGTAGGCATTATGGCAGAGACCGCTGCTTTCCCCCCAGTATGTATCTTCTCTTTTATGAGTTAAATTGTCCCCCTTAAAATTCGTCTGTTGAAGTCGTAAGACCCATCTCAGAATGTGACTATTTGGAGATAGATCTCTATAGAGATAATCAAGTTAAACTGAGGTTGTTATGGTGAATCACAATCCAATATGACTAATGCCCTTATGAAAAGGGGAAATTTGGACACAGATACAAATCGAGGGAAGGCTATGTGAAGAGACACAGGGAGATAGCTTGGCTCTCCAAGCTGAGGAGAGAGGGCTGGACAGATCCTTCTCTAACAGCTGTTAGAATGAACCAACCCTGCGAACACTTGAATTTTTAATTTCTAGTCTTTAAAATTTTTTAATGTTTATTTATTTTTGAGACAGAGAGACAGAGCATGAATGGGGGGCGGGGGGGTCAGAGAGAGAGAGACACACAGAATCTGAAACAGGCTCCAGGCTCTGAGCTGTCAGAACAGAGCCTGACACGGGGCTCGCACTCATGGACCGCGAGATCATGACCTGAGCTGAAGTCGGACACTTAACTGACTCAGCCACCCAGGCACCCCTTAATTTCTAGTCTTTAGATCTGTGAGAATAAATCTCTTGTTTAAGCCCCCCATCTCAAGAGACTGATAAACCAGAATGTCCTGGGATAAGAATTGTTTCTCCTTTGGGCACTCTTTCTTGACCCACAAGTTCTTTAACCAAATCGTGGATTAGAAAGATGCTTAGTGAATGTAGGACTAAATGAATGAAAATGGAATACATCTAAAATACTTCCTTAAAATTGTAATGAACTCTAGTCTTTTTTCATTCCAGGAATGGGTAGGGTGAAAACAAAGCATCCTTTCCTCTTGACTAAAGAAAAAACTTGTTTCTTTGACTAGATACCGTACCCTTGTAGTTGCTTTATACAGACTCTTGACCAAGATTTAAGAAATACTTCTGTTCCAGAGGGTTACCCTGGGAATTCCTATTCCCCATCATTGTGGGTTGTCTTCCTAGTTAATTTCAAATGATTACTTTTTCCTTGTCCCTAAATTCTGGGGCTCCCTACTTTTACTACCCATGAACTGACAACATTAGCTTCAGTAATTACAATTTCTGACAAATGTTCTAGGAATCAAAAGCTATTAGCTCATTATTCAGAATTTATGGCACCCTTTAATAATAAAAAAATTGTCTGTAGCTTTCCACATCTATTTTCCCATTTCAAACCTGCTTTTCCAGTTATCCTCTGACTTGAAGTTGACTAATTTGTTCATCATAATTAGATGTGTTGCAATGCAGATGTGCTTAGTGATTTGCATTGCAATCTATTTAAAATTATTCCTGTCCATAAATTGTTGAGAGGAAAGGGCCTTCCAAGTTTAAATGAATTTAATTATTATAACTGTACAGGAAATATTTAAATGTTATATTGGCATTGATTCTATTGCATTAGAAAAAGTTATGAATAGCTAATTTGTAAAGATTTGGGGGGTTCTGGGTTCAGTCTTGTCTGTATCAACTCAGATTTGGTGCCTAGAGAAACAGTGTCTTAGAGGTCACTTGGATAAATGCCTCATCCTGGTGAATAAACGTAATGAACTGAAGGTCTTTTGTTTTTTGAGCTTTGTACATAGTTAAGAAATGCTTTTAATATCTCCTTATTCCATTATTCTTTATCAAAAAATATTCTTGTAGCTTAAGGTATCTGAGTTCTCCATTAAAATGATCTTTGAAACAAATAGACATTTTGATTTAAAAAGGGCAATAGAGATCATACATAAGTTATTTCAGTATAGCAGTAAAAGATACAATATATTAAAAGCTCTGAAATTGCTCTGTGAAAGTGAAATACCTGGGTGAACTGCAATTTTGGACCTTAGATGGAATGCATTGTAATCCACACTACATCCTTAGGAGTGGCAGTCTTTTAGAATGGCATGTCAAGTGCTCAATTAGTCTTTCTGATGAAGATTCTATGCCTATAAGACCTCTCATTTCTCAGTTGGCACGTCCTTTAATCACTGTACGAAAATTCTCCACGTCTGTGAGCTCTTAGAATTTTAGCCAGTGCTTCTTAATCAAGATAGCACATTAGGGTCACTCCAGGGAATTTTTGGGTGATTGATTTTTCACTTAAAATGTGTCCAATTTTCTTTTGTTTTGTTTTTGAAATAGCTTGGTAATTTACATACCAAAAAGCCCCACCATTTGAAGAACAGTTCAGGGAGGTTTACTGAATTTATACAGCTGTACAACCATTCCCACAATTTAGCTTGAGAAACTACCACGGTCCTGCAAAATGTCCATTGTGTCTGTTTGTAGGCAATCATGTGGGAGCTTTAAAAAAAAAATAATATCCAGACCTCACCCCTTCTGCCAATAATAAAAGAATGTTACTGCAGGTAAAGCACCAGTATTATTTTGTTTGACAAAACACCCCGTGTGATTTAATGTAAACCAGTATTGAGATCCACTGATTTGGAAAAAATTTTGTAGAAAAGATGAAGATTTGGAAAGCGAAGATGTAAACCCTTAGTAACCAAGAGATCTGGTCAGTCTAGACCGATGTTGACACAACAACAGCACGATAAGAAAGACCTTTAGCACATTTAGAGAATGGTGGGTTTTTGATCACTCTGCTATTCCTATTGCGTAGAATAGATTTTTCTAACTTTGAGTAGAATCTGCTCTCCTTTCTCCTGCAGCTCGCTCCATGTACACCTAGTTGGCCTAATGAATTCAAACGCATCCCCCAGAGAATTTTCATTACTGCCTCACTTGTGTTTCCATAACTCTGAACAAACTATCACAGTCCTTCTTGCATTGCATGGCAGCTATTGGTTTCTATTCTGGCTCTCCCATTTTTCTGAGACCTCCTTGAAAAGCAGAGGCCATGACACGTTCATTTTAGCATTCTGGACAGCATCTGGCAGGAAGGAGGTTCCCCATAACTGTTTATTGAATTCAGAAAAGAAGTAAGTAATTTAAAAAAAAAAAAAAACAACACTGTAGGGAGCATAGGCAATGATTCACAACCTTGACTACAAATTAGAGTCAACTGAGGAGTTTTGCAGAATCCCTACAACCGATCAAATCACACCTAGAACAATGAAGTCAGAATTTCTAGGGATAGAACCCAGCAATATTTTTTTTTCCAATGTGTAGCTGAACTTGAGAACCATGAGCTTAAAGCCTTAGAGGATGGTCCAAAATTACCTCTTTGACCAAAAATATCTCTGCCCCATTGTCTAAAATATATAAATTATTTGCTGTTACAGTGACTGAAAAGAGCTCAGAAATACATGTGGCTTAACAAATATCTGTTTCAAATATTACAAAGCCCTTAAGAGTCTCAAGAATGAGGGGGCACCTGGGTGGCTCAATCTGCTAAGGGTCCGACTTCAGTTCAGGTCACTATCTCACAGTTTGTGAGTCCGGGCCCTGCATCTACCCTTTCATGGAAACAGAGATAGGGCTATCCTTTGGTGATTACATTTCAGAAACATAAATCACAAATTCTTGAGAAAGATATTCCTAAAGTGTAAAACTGGCAAGAGACTTTTCAAAAGAGTTCCATCTCAAAGGGGAAAAGTAATTATAATTACAAGTTTTCCCAAAGAGAATGTTCTAGGAAAGTGGAAGTCAGGAGTTCAGTCAGGAAGAAGCCTTTCTATAAAGTTTAGTCAAGCTGGAAAATGTTAAAATAGTCTTGGTCAAAGTCAAAATAAATAGATAACTTTGAAACTCTGAGACTGGTAAATAAAGTCAGGTCCAGAAGAGCTGCCAAAGAAATGCCTCAGCAAAGAGTTTTCAGCAGCGAAGTTTAGCATAAGGGGATTGGATATGCAGAAGAACCAAAGAGGAAAGCTAGCAAAGGGCTTGAGGAATTTCTGGAGATGATTAGAATATCTTGCAGCTTTCCCTGCATAGCCTGGTTGGTCTCCAGCAAATGAGATGGAAGTGCATCCTTCAGCACACTCTTCTTCCTGAAGGAACGCTCAGGTCCGTGTACCACCCTACCCTTCAGCGACTGAGGAAAATGCCCGCAGCTGCAATCCCCAACTGGCCTGAAAAGGTCCTTCTAACCCCCTAATCCGTCTGTTGGGGGAGGTCCATTTGAATGCAACTTCTGGCTCTCTACCCTGTAAATGTATTATCATCCCAAGCCTGTTACAACAGTAGAGGAAGGCACAGAGACATTTACCCTGCACTGGTTCCAACAAGGAGTGTGAGTTACAACTTGCTGGAATTGGGGGAGGTTTCTTTTGGTTTTGCCCTGGAATCACAGGAGTACCTTTTTTCTTTTCTGCATATTATGGTTCTTTTCCACCTTCTATCTGGCAGCTTCCCCTCCCTCATGGTTTCCACTCTTTCTGCTTCAGCACTTGAGTTTTTACCTTTAATCAGCTTGACTCAGCAAGTCTTAACCTCAGATCTGTGTCTTCAGGTATATATTTTCCGGTTTCTGCCAATTTACCATTCTTTTCATTGGCATTTAAAGATATTTTCTCATTGTATTTATTCTTTTTTTGTGGTTCTTCCTGGGCAAAAGGTTATTTTAAAAATATCTTTGAAACTCAAGGAATTCTAATGTCATAGGGGAGATATATTTTGTGAACCAGTTACCACAATATGAAGGGCATCCATATGAGAGCATTCCATCAATAAAAGAATTATAAATGAAATAAGGTACAGTCATATAATGGAACACTGTAAAACGCTGCTCTTAAATGAACTTACTATATCAGTGAGAATAGAACTAGATCTTAAAAATATAATGTTCAAAGAAACAACAGTGTTGGCCAGAGAAAGGGGACCCCTCGTGCACTGTTGGTGGGAATGCAAACTGGTGAGGCAGACAGCATGGAGCTTCCTCAAAAAGTTAAAGTAGAACTATCCTGTGATCCGTAGCTGCACTACTGGGTGTTTACCCAAAGAATACAAAAACACTAATTCAAAGGGATTTATGCACCCTGATGTTTATTCCAACATTATTTACAATAGCTAAACTGTGGAAGCAGCCCAAGTATCCATCAACTGATGAATGGATAAAGAAGATATGGCATATATGCACAAAGAAATAAAAGAACAAATATTTCCAAAATATTTGGAAGAACAAAATATTTCCATTTGCAACAACATGGATGGATCTAGAGAGTATGATTTGTTTAAGAAACAAAACAAATGAGGGGCGCCTGGGTGGCGCAGTCGGTTAAGCGTCCGACTTCAGCCAGGTCACGATCTCGCGGTCCGTGAGTTCGAGCCCCGCGTCGGGCTCTGGGCTGATGGCTCAGAGCCTGGAGCCTGTTTCCGATTCTGTGTCTCCCTCTCTCTCTGCCCCTCCCCCGTTCATGCTCTGTCTCTCTCTGTCCCAAAAATAAATAAACGTTGAAAAAAAAAATTTAATAAAAGAAACAAAACAAATGAACAAAGGGGAAAAAAAGAGAGAGACAAACCAAGAAACATACTCTTAACTATAGAGAAGGAATAGATGCTTACCAGAGGGGAGGTGGGTGAAATAGGGGAAGGGGATTAAGAGTACACTTATCTTGGGGCATCTGGGTGGCCCAGTCAGTTAAGCGTCCAACTCTTGATTTAGGCTCAGGTCATGATCTCGGGAAAGAGATTAAGCCCTGTGTTGGGCTTTATGCTGACAGTGCAGAACCTGCTTAGAATTCTTTATCTTCCTCTTTCTCTGCCCCTCCCCATCTCAGGCTCTCCCTCTCTCTTTCTCCAAATAAATAAATAAACATTAAAAAAAAGAGCATACTTATCTTGATGAGCATTGAGTAATATATGGAACTGTTGAATCACTATATGGTACCCCTGAAATTAATGTAATACTGTATGTTAATTATACTGGAATTAAAATAAAAATATACACATAATGTTCAGTTAAAAAAGATGTGGAACTAAATATTGGCACACCATATAATAGTCGTGCACATTAGTTAAAATACAAAAAGTAGCAGAGCATCATATAAATGTGTATTTTTTATGAAAGGATCTTGGAAGGTTATACAACATAAACATATACCTTCTAGAAGCAGGACTTGGAGTAGTATTGAAGGGGACTTGAGTGATATCTTTAATATTTCATTAAAGAAATAAGAAATTAGAGGCCCATAATCCAAAATGATAACTATAAATCTGAAAAATAGAATATTGTAAGTTTGTTTTATGTTCTTTTTACTTGTCTAGATCATTTAAAATTACAAAAACAAAGCAATAATAAGGTCCATGACAGGTACAAGCCAGGAGTTGAGAAGAAAGAGAACTATCAGGGTGATCAGAGTCATTCTATTAAGGGAATAAGGATTTGGGAGTTGGGTTGAATATTCATAGGCAGAAATGAATGAGCATAGCAATTTAATTGGAAGGAATCACACAAACCAAAAAGGCAGACAATAAAATTCAATGTCAGAATATATCCCAAATAAGTACATTTTTAAATCAAAATTTGAGGTCAGAAATGAAGAAATTTCTATATATAGCATTGTGAGCAATATTCAGATCATAGTGAAGTGAGTATATTTCTCTAAGGTAGCTCTTCTGTTGGTATTGTTAAGTTATGGAACAGAGCAAGAGGAAACAAGAACTCGGTCAGATAGTTACCATGGTAGAAACCAAACTAACTTAGAAAGCATCTAATCTAACTTCCTCTTACAAAAGAGGAAATGGAGGCCCAGAAGTTAAAGTCACCATTGGTCAAATCCAATCCAGACTCTGACTATAATGCCAATGTCATCAGAACACAATTCAATAATACTAGTCATGTCTTGTTTTTCTACTGTAGTAAAACATTTATCTACTTCACATGCTGAAATGTAAGAAGAATGATACATAGAAATTATAATGTCTGCTCTAGACAGTGTTTTTAAAATTTACAGGTAAAGCTGATACTTTCCTAAATTCACTTTTGTTAAATCTGTTTTATTTTAATCTACTTTTATGCAAATAAAGATTATTTTAAAAAAACCAAAGAAATTTTAGCATGGATTAAACTATGTAAATTGAGAGCATATAAAAGAATAGCATAAGACCTCTGTCTTAGCATCTGTAAAAGCTGGCTTAACGGAATGTACACACACAAAAAATATTGTTAAGAATTCTTATCAAATCCCTATGGCAATGATAGCAAGTCAATTTTATGCACCCATTAATATTGAGGGGCCTCGTGAAGGACCACTCAGAAACTAGCAGGACTGCATAGAACATTAAACATCATTAGTGCCCTCTTTCAAGAAAAACAACAAAATTTGAAATTATAAAAGGATGCTCTACCAGACTCCTTTAATAAAGAATTTCTCTAGGGCATTTGAAATAAAATTTGATTTATGGAACTTTGACAAAGACGTAATGTTTAAGAAACATCGCTTTGAGGGCACCTGGGTGGTTCAGTCGGTAAAGCCTCTGACTTCAGCTCAGTCATGATCTTGCAGTTTATGAGTTGGAGCCCTGCGTTGGGTTCTGTGCTGACAGCCAGGGCCTGGAGCCTGCTTCAGATTCTGTGTCTCCCTCTCTCTCTACCCCTCCCCTGCTCATGCTGTGTGTGTGTGTGTCTCTCTCTCAAAAATAAATAAACATTTATTAAAAAATAATTAAAAAAAGAAACATCACTTTGGTAAACAGAGAAGTAAATATTTATCTTGCTCCATACTCACTGTGGGTTGAGTAAATGTGTCTCCTAGATGACAGATGGTCCCAATTAATCTGAACATTAAACATTATACCCTGGGTAGATTTAAGCAATAACAGTTTTCAGAGGAATAGTCAATGCCAGCATGTGGTAGCAGAAACAGTTTGGGGCACAGCAAGGGACTCAGCTCGTTGGAGGTCTAACCAGCCCTCTTTCCCACCTCTCAATTCTATCTGATTGACAAGGGCAAGATATTTTCTAGATTCTTCCCTTCAGGTCTCAACTAATGATTCAGCAAATGCCCTGAATTTCCAATTGGAAGCTTCCAAATCAGTGGGAGATTTTTAATGTGACCTGGGACCAAGTAAGTGAGAACAGGAAAGGCCTGCCTATACCTTGCCCTTCTGTTTTGGTAGTCCTTGTTAACAAAGATGATTCCCTTGGATTCCAAAGGGCCCTGGTTTGGCTGGGTTTTTGTTTTTTTTTTTGTTTTGTTTTTTTTTTTAAGTCTATTTTATTATTATTTGCTTACCAGAGCTTTCACAACTGTTTTAGCTGACCTTGGGATCTTATATTCCAAATTGTACTCTCTGCTTCCAAGATGATGACATTGATCTTTTTTTTTTTTTTTTTAATTTTTAATGTATCTTAACAGTTTAAAAACAATGATAAAAAGGAAGTTGTGATGGCTAATTTTATGTGCCAATTTGACTAGGCTACAGCACCCAGATATTTGGTCAAGCATTATCCTACATGTTTCTGCAAAAGTATTTTTAAAATAAGGTTAACTTTAAATCAGCAGATCTTGATTCAAAGAAATTAACCTCCATAATGAAGGTGGAGCTCATTCAATCAGCTGGAAGCCTTAACAGAAAAAGGCTGAGGGAGAATTCTGGCAGCAGACAACCTTTGCACTCACACTGCAAAATCAATTCTTCCATTGGTCTCCAGCCTGCTGCTGCAGGTTTTGAATCTCCACCACCACCTCCCCCCACCACCACCACCCAATTGTGTGAGCTATTTCCTTAAAATTTCTCTCTCCCAATATATATTTATACCATCATATTGGTTCTGTTCTCTGTAGAACCCTGACTATATTACACCACCATAGAGCTTGATAATAAACATCCCCAGCACCTTTGAAGTCCACTGTGTGCTCCTCTCTGGTCATGCTGACTTTCTATTGTGATTTGTTTCCTGGCACAGTAATTACCCCTGAGATTTGCTTTCCATGGTGTCAGTTACCTGCAGTCAACCATGGTCCGGTAGCAGAAGCTCCTCCTTCTGATGTATGGTCAGAAGGTCACTAGTAGCCTAATGCTATGTCATAGTGCCTCTGTCATTCACCTCACTTCATCTCATCACATAGACATTTTGTCATCTTACATCAACACAGGAAGAAGAAGGGTGAGTACAGTGCAATGATATTATGAGAGAGAGAGACCACATTCACATAACTTGTTTTACAGTATAATTCTATTTTATTATTAGTTATGATTATTAACCTCTTGCTGTTCCTATGTTATAAATTAAGCTTTATTGTAGGTCTGTATATATTGGAAAAAACATAGTATACATAGGGTTCAATACTATCTGCCCTTCCAGGCATTTCCTGGGGAGCCCAGAACATATCCCCCCACAGATAAGGGGAGGCTATTATTCAAAGAAGAGATTTGGTACAGAAAACAAACTGAGGGTCACTGGAAGGGTTGTGGGTGGGGTAAGAGACATTAAGGAAGACACTTGTTGGCGTGAGCACTGGGTGTTATACGTAAGGGATGAATCACTGGATTCTACTCCTGAAATCATTATTGCACTATATGCTAACTAACTTGGATGTAAATTAAAAAATCAGTCAATTAATTAAATTAAGTATTAAATTAAGTTCAATTAAAAAAAAGAAGAGATTTGGTACTTCACCCAATAGATGGCAGGAATGTCACTATATTCAGCATGAAAACTTGCACTGGGCTTAATGAAGTACCTAACTTAATGGTACTTCCTATCACCATTTAAGTCATGTACCATGTATCAGACCAAAAAAAAAAAAAAAAACAACCAACTAGGATTCTGCTTGTCAGCCTGTCCAGGTCAGGGCTCTTCTGCAGAGCACAGGATCCTCTGACCAACCCCACTACTGCAGAGCAATAACATTCCTACTGGCCATGCAACCTACATTGTTGGATGGAGCTCATTTTTCTTCTCAAGGAAGATTTGACCTTGCAAAGACTCTTGAATGCATCCCTTCCTTTCCACACCACTGCCAAACCCTTGTTTCAGGCCTTTATTTCATCTCTCTCACACTGCAATGTCTATCCTGTCCAGTGTGTTTAATTTGTTATGGCACAGAACTGACCACAACTCTTTTGCTCAAAAACCTTCACACTGGAGTCCTAATACTCTTTGTCTCCTTCTCTACTCTGCACTGGCCTGAAAAAAAGGTAAACAATTCTCAAACATGCCATATACTCCAATGCATTTGCATTTTTCTTATTTGTCTGTTGTTTTGTATTTAGCCAGAGGCTTGACCCTTATTTTTCAATCAGTCCATTCCTACACTATCAGAAGCCCCACTCAAGTCACAACCCCATATGAAACTTTTGCTAGTTCTGCTGTCCCATGAGAATTCCCTGTCTTTTACACTCCTATAACACCTGTTCCATACCTCTATAGTAAAGATATTTGTGGGGCGCCTGGGTGGCGCAGTTGGTTAAGCGTCCGACTTCAGCCAGGTCACGATCTCGCGGTCCGTGAGTTCGAGCCCTGCATCAGGCTCTGGGCTGATGGCTCAGACCTGGAGCCTGTTTCCGATTCTGTGTCTCCCTCTCTCTCTGCCCCTCCCCCGTTCGTGCTCTGTCTCTCTCTGTCCCAAAAATAAATAAACGTTGAAAAAAAAAATTAAAAAAAAAATTAAAAAAAATATTTGTATACATTACATACAGTAAATGTATTAGTATTTCACAAACTGGTATTAAGGTTCTGTGGTGATATTTAAAGGGAGATGGGGAAGATAATTCTAATGAAAAGCACTCTCCTTTAGAGTCATCCAACCCCTACAAGGATTAAGATTTTTGCTAGGCCAAATTGGCCTGGAATTTCGTCTTAGAATAACTAAATCCCAAGTTCTTCCTAGGCCTCCCATGGCAATAAATGTCTGCTGTGCTGCCCCACTCGTTTGCCAGACCTGCCTAGGCATGATCGAACCCCAGCTGTGGCCACAGCAGAGCCTGGTGGGGAAATAGAAAGGAGAAAAGGGAGGAGCAAGTGTAGAGAGAAGGGCACACTGCATTGGAGGTATCAAGGTGACATTGCTATCAGGAAGAGGTGGTGGGCAGACAACTGGAAATGCACACCTGCAGCTCAGCAAAGGGCAGAAAGCTTGGAAGTCCTCAGGCTGGAAACCGTAACTACATTATCACAATGAATGAGCTACCAGGGCAGATCTTGGGAGAATTCATACACCTGAGGTAGAGAAGAAAGCAGATGAACCAGACAAGAGTCTTTATAAAAATCTTTTTTATCTAGGGGCGCCTGGGTGGCTCAGTTGGTTGAACATCCAACTTCACCACAGGTCATGATCTCAGGGTTTGTTGAGTTTGAGCCCCATGTCGGGCTCTGTGCTGACAGCTCGGAGCCTGGAGCCTGCTTCAGATTCTGTGTCTCCCTCTCTCTCTTCCCCTCCCCTACTCACACTCTGTCACTCTCCCTCTCTCAAAAATAAATGAACATTAAAATTTTTTAATGTTTTATTTAAAAATGATTAAAAAAAAAAAAAAGAAGAAGAGAACCAGGAAGAACCACAGAACTCCCCCAAAGAAGAGTTCCTAGTAGCAGGGAGTGGCTATCAAAGCCAGTTGTGACAATGGAGAATGGGAGAGATACAACTGAGTTTGACAATTGGAATTGTGACCATTGATAAGTTCAGGGGAGAAAAGAGTGAAATCAGATTGCAGGGGCTCAAGGAGTCAGGAAGCGATTAAGATATGTTCCAGTGAATCTTGGTAATGTGGAGAGAGAAAAAAAAAAAAAACAGTTTGATCTGAAAGAATAGCAAGATCAAAAGAGAGCCTTCTCTATCATTTTCTCTTCTTTCTTCTCCTTCCTTCTCCCTTTCTCTCCCTTCCTACCTTCTTTCTCCTCCTCCTCTTCTTTGGTGTGGAGAACATATATATTCATCTCTAAATTAAATATACGTAGGTTGAAGGTCCAGTGAAAAGAAACAAGTTAATGATATAAAGAGGCAATAATGGGTACCATAAAGTTGTGGAAGGGGCAAGAGCCGGTGGCCAGAGATACCAACTTCAGAGAGAAATTAGCTTTTTTAGAGAAGGGAGAACCACTTACACAGAAATGCAGGAATGGAGAAAGAGTGAGAGGGAAGGGAAATAATGAGATTTATACATTGTGGTGCTTGGATCCACGTCAGCATGCTGTGGACTCCCTTCTAGTGAGTGGAGGTGGTGAGTTCAGGCTGTCATTTGGTGGGTGCTCAGTTAAGTGTTTGTCAGAAGAGGGGAGCTTGGCTGATAATGATAAGGAATCACGTAGGAATAAACAGAAAGTTTATCAAGAGTGTGGACTCCATTAACTTTTCAATTAGCTTACTTTCATAACATTCTGCTAACACAACCTGGAAACGTAAGAGGGGAGAAACAGCCGGTAGAGTCTCTGCATGGTTGGGAATTGACGGGGTAGACTAGTAGTAGAAAAAGGGATGGAAGTGAGGGTTGACCATGATCAGGTAGAACACCCTTGAAATATGGAACCAGAAATATAAAAACATCATAGAGCTGGGCAACCTCCACAGGCCAAAGCCACCAATATCCCGTGAAAATCTCCATGCTAGTAATATGAATATGACCTATAAATCCCCAATGTGAAAGCTGTTCCACCTCTAGCATGTTTCCTCTATCTGCAATGGTCTTACCCTTATTCATCCTTTCATTTGCCTGACTTCTCTTCATCCTTCACACTTCGGCTTGCTCTAACTTTGGCTGACAAGAGGATCAAGTGAGGTGATAGATGTAAACTACTTAGAATAGTGCCTAACATAGAAATGTTTTACTGATGCTCA